GAGCCATCTTGTCAGGTCTCTGACCCTTTTTATATGTATGAATATTATGTACATGCACTATGTACATGCTTGGTATCCACAGAGGACAGAAGAGGGTTTTGGATCCCGTGGAACTGACTTTACAGGTGGTTGTGAGCCAACATGTAAATGCTGGGAACTAAACCCAGGTTTTCTGCTAGGTCAGCAAATAAGAAAATCCTCTTAACTATTAAACTATCTTTGCAGTCCCCTGATACCATATATATATGGCATCACTTTAGCCTAGATTTGCCTAGAATTCACATAGTCTTCGTCTCTAAACCTCCTAAGTGCTGAGATTACAGGCATGTACTACCATATAAGTCCATCTTCAGCCCTTGGTATAAAAATCTTTAAGAAGGGCCTGCTTTGCTCCTGTTAGAGATTGAGGCTCAGAGGTCTAGGGCTTCATGCCTAGAGGCTACTGTTTCACAGATGAGATCTGTTCATTTTTATCTCTGAGAGGACTCAGGTTGTCTTTGGAAACCTGACTCTGGAGCCTGATAAACCTGGGCAGTTGAATTCTACTGCCTATCAGCTGCTGAGTTGATGAACTCACTGAGTCTTGATTTGTTAATTTCTGACATGTGTATTGCTGGGGTAGGGTGGTACATATAAGGTTCTTTGCACATTTCTCTTTTTGCTTGATCTGTGTCTTTTAGAGACAGGAGTCTCCTTGATGTGCTGATGACTGCTATTACAGATTTTGTCTTCGGAGATACTTGACACCTAAAAATGAAGGTTTTTTTGTTTGTTTTTGGTTTTGTTTTTTTTTTTTTTTGAGAGGATCTTTGCACTCCCAAATACCTAAAGGTTCAAAAAGGCTGATCTCAAAGAGCAGCTTCTTGAGGAGCCTGGCCTATCAGTCTGTAGGCTATTGGGTGAAGCAGGAGATGGTGTGGTTACCAGCTTCTCACAAGAGCTGTAGAAGCCACAGGGATGAAGGATAGTTCTCAATGTCATGTGAGACTGCATCTCTTAATCTGGTTTCCAGGCTTTTACTTTCACAGTAAACATGTTAAGAACAAGACCAGAGCTTTCTGGCTAGTCCAAGGGAGCATTTAGCCCTGTCTGCATACCTACCATCATGTGGATGGGAGAGGGCCTCTGCATTCTGCTTCTTTTTGGGCTTGGGGATGCTGTTTTTAAAGTATGAGTTAAAAACTTTGTACAAGGTTTTGAGTAACTCTTAAACCTATAGTTTGCTGTGCTACTACATTCTGTACTGGGGAGGGTACTGTGTGTGTGTGTGTGTGTGTGTGTGTGTGTGTGTGTGGGAGAGAGAGAGAGAGAGAGAGAGAGAGAGAGAGAGAGAGAGAGAGAGAGAGAATAACACAGTGGCCAGGTGTGGTAGGTACTTTAATCCCAGCACTCCCAGGCAGAGGCAAGTGTATCTCCTGAGTTCCAGGACAGACAGGACTGTTAAACAAACCCTGTCTTGAAAAAACAAAACAGGGAACCCCCACAAGGGAGTAATAGTGCCTCAAGGCAGAGGAATGGGACTGGGGTACATTGAGGTTTGACGGGGTTTGCACTGGAAGTGGGTCAACATTGGTGTCTGGTAATGAGGTGACAAATAGGGTCTGGCCAGTGCCTGGGAGGAAGAAAAAGAATTAACCAAGCAAAGACCTTTGCAAAATGCTGGTGAGCAAGCACTGGAGCTTTTTGTGTGTGTGTGTGTCTGTGTGTCTGTGTGTCTGTGTGTCTGTGTATGTGTGTGTGTTGCTAGGTCCAGGTAGAGTGCATGGCTGGCAAGATAGGGTTGGGTGTAGATGATCTCCAGCAGAGCTTAGAGAGTTTTATCTTTTTTGTTTGTCTTCCCTTTTGTTGTTGTTTTGGTTTTTTGTTTGCTTTTGAGGCAGGGTCTAATGTATCTCTGTGTGGCCTAGAACTTTCTATGTAGAACAGGCTACTTTCAAGCTCTGCCAATCTCTGCCTCCTGAGAGCTGAGATTAAAGCTGTGCACTGCTTCTTGATTTCTTTTTTTAAATGTATTTTACTTGTATGGGTGTTTTTTCTGCATGAATGTCTGCACAATGTTCAAGCCTGCTCCCTTGGAGGCCAGAAGAGGGCATCAGAGTTGCAGAAGTTGTGGGCCTCCATGTGGGTTCTGGAAATTGAACCCAGGTCCTCTAGATGAGCAAGTAACACTTGAGCCATCTGTCCAACCCCATCTTGCTGTTTTTTTGTTTTTTTTTTTTTTAAATTTATTTATTTTAATTTTCTGAGACAGGGTTTTTCTGTAGATTTAGAGCCTGTCCTGGAACTCTTTTTAGACCAGGCTGGATCTCACAGAGATCTGCCTGTCTCTGCCTCCCCAGCTTAAAGGCATAAGCATGCCCTGCTTTTTTGAGGGGGGAGGCAGAGACAGACAAACTCTCTGTACCCCAGGTTAGTCTTGAACTCACTGTTTTCCCTGAGGCTGGCCTTGATCTTCCACCTCAGCATCCCAAAAGTTTGGCTTATAGGTTTATGTCACACCCAGCAGTTTGTGTTGTATGGTTTTGGTTTTTTGTGTTTCTGTCTGTGTATGTCTAGAAGAGGGTATCAGATCATGTGGAGCTGAAGCTACAAGCAGTTGTGAACCGCCAAACATTGGTGCTGTGAGCAGGACTTTGATTCTCTGGAAGAACAGGAAGTACTGTTGACAACTGAATAATTTCTCCCATTCTTTGTTGTACTTCTCTTAGTTGGTTTGTTTGATTGGTTGTTTGAGACAGGGTCTCACTGTGTAGCTCTGGCTGGCCAGAGTAGATAGTATATCACTATCATCTAGACCAGACTGTCTTCAAACTCAACAGAGATCCTCTTGCCTCTGCCTCCAACTGCTGGGTTTAAAGACTTGCACCACCACACCTGAATTCTGTTATTTTTGAAATATAACATGTCATGTTTGGGTACATGGAAATAAAAGCATGAAGATTGAGCAGGCTTGGAATAAGGTTGATATTGGTTCCTAGATCTGCTTTTGGTCTCCTGAAAGTAAGGGTCTTTATTCAATCTTTTTTGGGTTTTCTTCTTGTTATTTTTGAGACAGGATCTCTAACCTTGGCTGGCCTCAAACTCCCTGTGTAGCCAAGGGAAACCTTGAGCTCTTGATCGTCCTGCCTCCACCCTCTCTCAAAACAAGCAAAAACAAAACCCAGCCTAACTGAACATAATGCCTTTAGTCCTAGCACTCAGGAGAAAAAAACAGCTCAGCCTGGTCTATATAGCAAGTTCTAGACCAGTCAGTCCTAGTCTCCATAGTGAGACTATTCCAGATAGATAGCTAGATTCATAGGATAGACAGAACAATGCTACTGAGAAAAAAAAAAAAAAAAAAAAAAACCCTCCTACTTCTCGTGCCATTCTCTTATCTTACCCTATGCCGTCACTTTTCTTGTTTATGGATTGGTTTCCAGCCTTGCTCTTTCTCACTTCCATCTCAGACACCCTAGTTTCCTCCCTGATCTGTTTTGGTGTTGTCACACATTTGTTGGTGCTGTTTCTTCTACTTGGCATGTTCTTTTCTAGAACCTCCGCCAAGAACTGCCCAACTTTGATGTGGGCTGGGGACAGAAGGAAGAATAACTCTCATTTCTTCAGCTTTTCTCAAGAGCTCTTGGGAACTGGGCAAAGTATCTTGGGTGTTTTTGAGGGGTTGGGACATGTTGAGTAAATACTAAGGTAGAAGGGGAAGAGATGTGAGTGCGGGGAAATGCGGAAAGTTGGAAATGTGACCAAGATTGGGTGTGAAACTAGTAGTAGGTCCTGTGCTTCCATTGATCGATTTGTTTCTTGGCACAAATGTGAATTGGGACACAGTTTATGTTCCTGTGTACAGGCATGGCTGGATCCAAGCTTTCTCTTCTGCTTGTTTTAGACTTTCCTGGACATTTCTTAGTCATCTGAGCATAGAGTTTCTATTTTTAGTGCAACTACCTCCTAGGGAACTTAAAATAAAACTGGCTTCATTTCCTGGCCCTTTATTGGCTAGAATATCGTCATAAGCTGGGCAATTGGATTTATCTCTATTCCTTTACACTGTCTCTTCCTGCTGGCTCCTCTGGCCTTGGCCAAGGTCACAGTGACTGTAGTTAAGTTAGTATTTACCATGTGAAGCAGTCACTTTACTAAGTTTCATTGTCAAAGAAGCTACACAACCATCAGCAACCTCTGGGCTGACATCTTCAGTTTTGCAGAGGATGATGTAGAAGCCCTAGAAGCAGTGACTTGTTTTAGCTCCTACTGCAGCTGATGGTTTTCTGCTGAGTTGAAATTACCTTCTTACTGTTTTGTCTCAAACATATCAGGACAAAGGACGTGCTCCTCTACAGTCAGATCCATACAGAGCAACACTTGGGTTTGGAGGGTGTCAATGTGGCTTTTTAATCAGTATCCCTGGGATTGTGGCCTCTAGTTGGGTAAGGATTCCCCTTCAGGAACAGGGCAGTTGGTGAGACAGGAGGAGGAGGAGGAGGAGGAGGAGGAGGAGGACGGGGAGGGGGGGTGGTGCGCGGAGG